AGTCAACTGAATACAAGTAGTCCTGTTTGACAATAGTATCTGCACTTGCTACAGCCAGCATATTTCAAAACTAAAGTTATGTCTTCAGAATGGACAGCAGCAGTAAATGCACTCTCTTTTGTTACTGATGTTGCTATAAAACATGAAGTAAAATAAAACTTTAATTTAATTGTGAAAAATACAGCCCAAAATGTAAGTACTTTTCCTTTCCAAAGAATTACTTTAATAAAATAAGTGCCTTAGTTGTTTGAAGAGTTTTCACATTTACTAGATGCAGAAAGAGACTCTATCCATCTTGCAAAGCAGTCCCCAGATCTAGAATCTTTTCCACTCCTTAGACTTGTGGTAGGATCCCAGAGGCTAGGATAAAATGCATTCATTCTGGAATCCTGGCTCTGAAGAATGTGACAAATAATAAGAGACAAATTCTTGGCCTTTTTCCTAATCATTAGGTAAATTAAAGAGATTTAATGATAAAGATAGGCAGAAATATTTAAGAAAATGTGTGAATTTGGGTGCCGAGAGAGCTGCTTGCTCAGCAATACAGCTGAGCAGGGATAGGGATCTGGAGTGCTGTGTCCTGTTCTGGACTTCTAAAAGGTACATGGAGCTCCTGGTGCAGGCCCAGTGAAGGAAACAAAGATTATTATGGGACTGGAGCACCTCTCTTACACAGGCTGAGGGAGCTCGGCCTGTCCAGCCTTGAGAAGAGGTGGCTGAGAGGGGACTTCATCATGATCAGTAACTGGAGGAAGGGTGCCAGAGGATGGATCCAGGCTCCTTTTGGTGGAGTGAAGCCACAGGACAAGAGGCACTGGGCAGGAACTGATGCACAGGAATCTCCACCTGAACATGAGTGAGATCTTCTTTACTATGCAGTGACCATGCACTGGAACAAGTTCTCCAGAGAGGGTGTGGAGACTCCTTCAGTAGAGATAGTCAAAAACCATCTGGACACAATCCTGGGCAACGTGCTCTGGGATGAGCTTGCTTGTGCAGGGAGGTTGAACAAGATGACCTACTATGGACCCTTCCAACCTTACCCATTCTGTGATTCCATGAACTTCACAAAAGATGACAAAAAACTGAAAGAATAAAAGGATGTAACACAGATTATGACCTTGGTGATAGGCCTGGTGCAAGCTTTCGAATGAAAGGAACAATAGAAATGATGGGGAGAAAAAAATAATAATTACTTGGTTTAGACTTGACTAGAGAGAAAATATCAACACAGAGTGACCTTAAAAAGTCTGTTCCCTCAAGTGATTTATTTTTGAGTATCTGCCTAATTAGGAGTTTGGGAAGGGGTGGGAGATGACATAAAAATGTGTTTTGTAATTTTGCTATATGATATAGAACTTGTTTATGTCACCTACCATAATCCAGGGGCAAGGCACAGTATAGTATTCTAATCACCTTTCCTTAGGTAGAAGTTGAGGTTGTTACTACCTAAATGAGATTCCCAAAAGAATCTATAAATCCAAATCTTGTTGCAGACCCTGGAAATTAAACCAACAAAAATATAAATCCATATTGAAATTGATATAGCCTCTAAAATCTGCCCATTTGTCAGAAGATTTCCAGTGGATTTCTTGTCAGTGAAACAAGATAGCCTCAAGTATGTAGTGCCTCAGAGCTAAGGACAAACGTGGTGTGATTTCAGAAGCAAAAGATATTAATGGATCTGCTCGTTTTTGGCCCGAGGACTGAGAGCCACAAAGATCTGGTTGATTCCCATAGTCAGCCTGAGAGCAGGAGCAGAAGAACCAAGCAAAGGGAAGAGCTGTCTGAAATTGAAAGCTTTAGAAAGGAAACAGAAATTCTAAACAAAACAAAACAAAAACAAACAAACAAAAAGAGATAAAATTAGAAAATAAGTAGACAGGAGAGTGGGAAAAGTTTTATTTAAACAAATTTATATATATATTCAGCCATTTACAGCAGGTGCCTCTGAAAAACCTTTAACTTGATGTGAGTAATCAGAATTTGCTAAAAATTAAATCTTTTTACCACAGTCAGTGCAAAGACCATAAACTGAGCAGTTACTTCATAATTTTTAATTTTTAACAGTTTGAGTAAGCATCAGATAATCTGAATATATTTGGGGTTTGGATTTTGTTTTTTGAGGTTTTTTTTAATGGAATTGGGCACAAGTGTAGGGTTGTATAAGTTGTCAGCTGTAAGCACAGTGATTCAACAGAAATAATAGTTTTTCTTTTTAATTGGAAGACTGAGCTTTATTTTTCTGATACTATTTCACTCATGTATGGACTAGCTTGGCAGTATTTGGAATAAACTATATAAAGCAAAGAAGCCCCATAAACTTGTCAAAATTAATAAAATTCATAATAGCCTCTCAGAGGCAGAGGATGGATCCTGAGGTCTGGGTTCAGACTATCTATTTGCTGTACATTGCTAAAGTAGTGAGAAAGGGGAAATGTCAAGGACAATTTGAGTCTGATGTGATGCTGGGAAGTCACTGACTCTCCATCTTGACACTGTCTGCATATAGTCCTGCATCAGTTAGACTCTTGATTTAGCCTCCTCAAATGATGTGCCATAAGTTAGAATATGTGCAAATTCTGGAATATATGCAAACTCCACTTCTGTAGAGACAAAAAAATACTCATTTCAGCTGAGTAAATGTTTCCTATGCTTGAAGATCTTAAATATAGAAACACCAGCATATATGTATATATATCCTTACCTGCTTTTGTCATGTTTGAATGCATATTACCTCTCAATGTGAGATTTCTGAGCAATTTAAATGCTCACAAGGTAAAGGAGGATTTGAGGGAGAGGGGGTGCTTCATTGTCATTAATATAACTTGAACATTTATTTGATTCCATGGATATTGAAAAAAGATTGTCAAATATTTGTAAAAGTTAATGAGGTGTGGATAGGCCAAACATGGAATAACACTCTCATCTGCCATGCTGATATTGCACTAGTTACATTTAGAAAAATTGCTGCAAAATTAGAATTCTTTGTGAAGAATACATTCTAAATATCACCAGACTTGTCACAGATTTCAATTCATGTCCTTTTACACAGATTCAGAAATCTCTTGTCCTCATTACTGTAAAATCTATATTGACCTCATAAATAGAATTGCTTTAAGAGACATGTAAGCAGAGCTTTCCAGAGGCTGCATCAGTTAGCACAGGCAGTGTAACAAAGTGGGACTTAGAACCACGAGGTTAAAAACCAGCTGAAAACACTTATTCTATATGTCCAATAGTATATAAATATTGCATACTAAAATAACCATAAGGCATATATATTTTAACATAATATACTACACAATGTTTTACATTACAATATACTTCAAAAGTAAGTACTCAGAAAAAATGTCTCACTATGTCATATTCTATGTTTCTTTGTGACTGCTGATTACTCAATATTATACTGTAAGCACATAAAATCTGCAAGGTTTATAAACTAGAATTTATGCTGTGTTAAACAGAACAGAGAAGGAGGGAAAACCATCTTTTATTTTTTTCTATTTAATACTGAGTATAATAATAAATTTCATTGCTATCACAATTTTACTCCAAGAATTAAAAACATTGCTGTTGACATGAACCTCTTTTTTTTTTTTTTTTTTTAAGAGCAATGTCCAAAAACCCCTGGATAGTATCACAGAGGTTATTCAGAATGTAGCATATGCATTACATTGCATAGAGGACAATTCTGTATAACTTAATAAGTGTCCCTATCTATAAAATTCACAGGTCCTCAGCTCACACTCTGACTGCAATGGCATCAGAAACAATAGTGCTCATGTCAGCTGAAAATATTCTGTGTCCCATCATTTGCACTGCAGTGTGTACACCCCATAGATGAGGATTTTTCTTCCTATGTTTTTTACAACAGATCCAAACCACTAGACTCAAAACATAAATTTTGGGCTAGTTAAATCTCAGCACAATATTTGAGTGTACTTACAGGTGATCCATATATTTGTGGAGCACTGAAAGGTCAAAGAATTTATGGATAGACAACTGTTGCCAAAAGGGCTTTGAGAGCAGACATTAGTTCAGGTGAGGTTATAATATGATTTTCTTGCTCCCAGGAAATTTACTTATTAAAGTGAATATTGACTGTTCATCTTTGCTCACAGCCCACAGCAATATCAACTAAAGAAGCCAAATGATCAAAAATGTATTCTGAGCCTGGAAAAAGCAGCCAACATTAAATAAAGTCTTGTTTTGCAACAAATTTAAAGTGCCTGTAGCCTATATCAGAGCATGGAATTCTGATTTTCACAACTTTAGCAATGAAAGGTGTATGAGACTACAGAGGTTGAGAAAAATAATCTTTGGCTTCTCACACCAGCTCCAGCAGCAGGAGTATACTCTCTCCTGCAGCAGGAGTTACCCATGTTCATCAAATACACTCCTTTTTACTTTGTATCCACTTTCTGATTTCCCTCTCATCAAAGAAATTATGAAATGTGTAGTATTAATAGCAATTCTTTCAACATATTTTATTTATAATCATACCTGAAATTTCATCTCCATTAGCTTCAGCATCTTTGGTTCAATTCTTTGTTGCTGGTCACAAACTTCAGGAAGGTGGCAAATGAGAAGGGACATGTGAAACAGCTTTCATGGGAGTATAAAATGGGCAGTGACTTGTTCTTTAATTCCTCCTCTCCCGGGAGCAATAAACCACAGAGGAAAAAGACAAGCAGTTAGCAGCTCCAGCAGTATCCCAGTGTGATACCCTGCCATAGCTTCACGGTCAAGACTGACATCCCAAATGACAGCAGAAGGCAAAGTCTATCTTTTGTCTAATGGGTCACAGTATACCAACTCCCTGTCTGCAGTATAGTGGTAGCTGAAATTTTAAAGTTATCAGAAGGGGAATAGAAAAATATGTAAATATTTACTCTTAAATTAATTTTCCTCTTCAGAAAATTAAACCTGGATGAAAAATTACAATGTTGTTCAAAATTCACCAGGAAACATCCTAGCCTGGTGATGCCCTCAGACTGCTACTTCTGCAGGGCCCCATGCTCTTCAGCATCTTCAAAAATTACTTGGATGCAGGACTGGAAGGGACACTGAGCAGGTTCACAGACAATACAAAACTGGGAGGAGCTGTTGACTCCCTCGAGGGCAGGGGGCCCTGCAGGGAGACCTGACAAATGAGAGGGCTGGGTACCTAAAGAGACCCCACAAAAAAGGTGGAGAGAGACTTTTTACAAGCGCATGTAGTGACAGAACAAGTGGTAATTTCTTCAGACTGAAAGAGCAAAGGTTTAGATTAGATATTAAGAACAAATTCTTGACTGTGAGGGTGTTGAGGCACTGGATCAGGTTGTACAGGGAAGTTGTGGCTGCCCCATCCCTGGAACTGCTCCGAGCTAGGTTGGATGGGGCTTTGAGCAAACTAGGTTAGTGGAAGGGGTCCCTGCCCATGGCAGGGGGTTGGAAGTAGATAATCTTTAAGGTCTCTTCCAACTCAAACCATTCTATGATTCTATTAAAATTTCAATCCATCTGCATATTTATGACAACAAAGCTCTTCCAACAAAAACTTTTTTAACCAATACTAACAGGTACACAAATTAAGAGAACTATAACAAATAAAAAGAAAGTGACATGAAATTGCTATTCCTGCTAAACTGCTTTTGCCTGCCTTTTGTTTCAATATGATAAATCATTATCTCTTCAAGGCAAAATTGAAACTGTTTGTAACCATAGCAACTACATTTAGTCACAAGTAAAATAAATTTAAAAGTGAAGACTTGCCATAAGAAGTGCAAATCCTTAATCCTTCTGTGAGAAGAAAGCCACAAATACCTATCTTCTCCTTTGCACCCTCCTTCCTACTGTATGGCCAAACTGAGGCATCCCAAATTCACAACAGCTGTCATTTAAAAGGAGGCACCCTTCAGGTTATTTGTCCTTGACACCCAGAACTGCTTAGCATTTGACAAAGAGTTTTTTCTCCTTCTTTAGATTGTAATGAACAGCACCTGAAGAGTAATGGCAGAATGTGTAAGTATTCCCTTGCAAAAAGAGTTTATAATTTGGATTTTAAAAAACAATTGCCTTTGTATCATGGAGTCAAGGTCAGGAATCACAAGAGCAAATATTAAAATTTTATTTTCCTTTAAAGACTTCTGCTCCACAACCTTTTTTCTGTTCACATTTTCCTCCTTTTAAATGTTTCAATAATGATTTTTTTTCTGATTTCTCCTATCTTTTCCTACAATGACTGCAGTTTTCTACTAAAGATACCTTCATTAGTATTTCCTTAGTTCATGTGACTGACCTGGTATAAGAAATGGGATGCAATAGAAAGAAACATCAGGAATTCTGGGACCCTTACTTGATCCTCCTTGCATGTCTAATATGTTCTCCACCCTATTTCTGATCTCTTCAGCATTTCTTCTGGCTCTAATTATATTTTTACCTTGTTCTTTCTTTACAATAATAGACATACTCGATGTCCCCACTGTGTAGTCCCACTCCAAAACACACAGCTGTGCAGCTGCCTGTGGTCAAAAAGAAACAGCAAAAGTTAGAGCTTCTGCCAAAACTCACAAAGTAAATTACACACTTGGCATGGAAATGTCTATGTTGGTCCCATCTTCTGGTATAAACATTCAGAAGTGCATTTTGAATAAGGGGGAAAGGGAAGGGGAAGGGGAAGGGATCACCAGTCCTGGCTTCAGCACTGGCCCACCTAATGGAGTACCCATAGTCCTGAGGCCAATGCCCAGGTTTCATGGGGGGAACCTTTTTATAAATAAGTTTTTTCTATCCTGGAAATAAGTTTCTCACTTTCCATGCAAATCAGTTGTCATGTGCAGCTCATTCTTCTAGATGGTTCTGGAAATGGGTTGGGGGACTTTTGGAGTGTTTCATGGCTTAGATCCCCCTTACTGGGTCTGTCTTTGTCAACAGTCCATGTCTTCTTGACCTCAGTTCTGCCTTTGCACTTTACTTTTTTGTACTTATCTCCAGAAGCCATAGCAAGGATATTTGTCCAAGAAAAGTGCTGTCCTATCTCTGCATGGCCCCCTTCTACAGCTACATCCTGTTCTTTTTCACAGCATTTTATTACCAGCTATTCTTGTCTGTTATTACCAACAACCCTTGACTGACTCCACATCTGGCAGTCAGTGTTTGAGACAGACACATTAACCTTTTTACCTTTTGGACTTCTCCACCCATTTGCATAATTTTCATAGCCCCATTTATCTTCTCACACTTGCTGTTCTTCAAACATGTCACAAAATTAGCCTCTGGCACCCCAGTGCCTTCTTCCCAGAGGATCATTTTATTATACCAGGCATCCTCCAGTTCATTTCAGCTCTCTGCATGGCTCTGAAGCTCTTCTCAGGAAAGTCACAAGGGGAAGACATCTTAGGCAGAAGAAAGAAAGTCCCTCTAAAGCCTTCAGCTTTGAAGACAAGAACAAAATTAATTTATGTTTTCCTCCACTAAACTACAGGAAACCATAATTTGCTAGAGTATGAATGCATGCCTTTTTCTTCTTCTGCTTAACCCTCATTCACATTTAAGCACCAATGAAAGACAACTGTCTGTGGCTGGGAGCACTTACCCTGAAAGGGTCATCAAAATGTGGGAAGCCAAGTTTCATCAGCCTCACCTTCTAAGCAACAGACCTGTATGATTAGAGGGATGCTCTAAGTGTGGGAAAAGTGCTTCATCTGATTGCCACAGCCTACCAGTCCAAAATTCCCTGATGATATTCATGCTTCAGATCGTGTCCTGTACAGAGAACATTGTATTGTCCTCGCTACAGTCTTACACTGGAGAGAGCAGGATTTGTGCCATTGACAACAAAAAGCCAACCCCCTTCACATGGAAATAAAGTCTTTCTTCTGACCCTGAATTTTTATTTTCAGTTTGGAGTCCACTGAGCTATGCAAGCTCATATAGTTTTTATCCATTTCAGCATTAATGGAAGGAATATTCCACAGTTAAACTTATTCAAAGAGGGATCAGCCAAGTATTAACATGACTAAAATATCTTACTAATGCTTCTTGACTGCAAACATTATTTAATGCCTTTGTGAGATAGACTTAAACTGCTACAATCAGTAGCTGAGCAAAAAAACCACTATGGCATTTACCTTCCAGCATTTGTCACTCCCCATGAAACCTGAAGCTGCTGGTCCAGTTGCACATTACCAGAAGAAAAAATGTTATGATTTTGGACAGAGATGGGTAAACTATGTATTTCATCCTCAATAAGTTAAACAGGAATAGCATGAAATCTGAGAGTGGTGGCATACCTGGCAAAGCAGGTGAAAAGGGTGCACAACTTTCAGAAAGACATAAACAAGTTAGAATGTGGAAAAGGCCACTTCACACCTGTATGAAGTATTATCTTAGGTATTGTATTTTTGCAAATGTTCTGCAAAATATATGGTTTATCTCAAAATATTTTTTAAATAGTTTTAACTGGGGTGAAGAAATGTGAATTCTCTCTGAAACCTTAGGTTGTTAAAAGAGAGACCTAGAAAAAGACAACCTAAATTAGCCTAAATGCTCAGGTTTTATCTGAATTTTGAAATCATAAATGTGGATCTAGTATGCCAAAAATCATGGTTTGTGGTAAGGCAAATTCATTAAAGCATTATATTAGACACTCTATCTATTCATATAGATTAATAGATTCAGATGACATTGAAAATACAATATCTTACTGGATTATAGTCTTCTGTTAATAAGTGAGTTTGGATTTTAGATTAATTTTGCTTCTTCCTCTTTAATTCTTTACCTTTTCATATCAGAGAAATCACTTGTAAACTATTAATCTTGTCTTTGAATAAAAGCCAGATATCAAAGTGATAGTGATGAAACATTAATTTTAAAATGCTCAAGTGGAACATTGTACCTATGCATTTTACTTCACACTAATAGGCTCAGAATGAGACAAATCCTGTAGCTCCAGAGTGCTGCTTGAGAGTAGTAACTGGTTCATTCCCACAACAAAAATCAAGCACAGCAGTGCCACAGGTGATGTGGTCTTGCCCTAGAGTAACTGGCTGTGCAGCAGTGGGGAGAAGGCAGGAGAAAGCAAGAAAAAACAGGAAGAAAGAGAGGAGAAGAGGGGAATCAGACATGAGTTTAGTCAGGGAAGAAGATCCAAAACTATTCATATTTTAGGCTAGGAGGATTTTCCATATTCTCAGGCCCAGGAAGAAGGCAGTAGTGCCCAGTGTAGCAGGATGCTCTCCCCAAAGTGGGAGTAAAACAGCTCAAACTGTTTACAAATCAAAAGTGGTGAATAGAGAAAGGGATATCATGCTGGGTTTGGTTTTGAAGAATGCTGAAACCAGCCTGACTCATCAGTCTGGAAATTAAACATATTTGTAGTGAGGTAAGACATGGCAGACCTGATGGGGCACCTGCTAAACAAAGCAACGAGTTATACTGTACCACTACTAACTTATCTAAAGATGCTGAACTGACACAGCTGGCCTGGACACATATGACTGACAGTCTTTCACTTTGTATTATAAAGTCCAGTCCCACTTTTTAACAGCAGAGTCTTCCAACATATCCTTTCTTGGAGAACTTGTGGACATTCCTCCCTTGAGCACAGACATCCTTCAGGCAGAAAGCATCATGCCTTCAGGCATGCTCCTCAAGGCAAAACAAAGGAGATTTGCCCAAGGTAGTTGCTGAGTAAGAGCAATCTCTACTTATTGTTTTTGCTAGCTTTAATATAATTGCTTCAATATTGCTTGAAAAATAGTGCACTATAGCATATTAGTAGTTACAGCTACCTATACTGTGTAGTAAATAATTCTGATTAAGATCTTTTAATGCAATCACTGTCATAATAAATAATTTATTTTTATAGCAATTTCTTTTGTTTGCCATCCTTAATCATGTAGGACAAACTTGTATAAAGATTCAGTCACACCTTTATAATGTTTTGCACAAAAACTGTTGGCAGCCTAGAGCTACAATCCAGGCTCCTGTCTGAGAAGGAGTTTAGAAGCAAGGAGGTCCATTCTGCACCTTGTGACTCAACAGGAGGGTTTCTCTAATAAACTTTGTCTGAAGCTTCATTCTGACACCCAGTCATCCACACAGTACCTATGCTGCTTGCTCCACTGCATTGCAGAGCTGTACAGTGGATTTGAAATATATCTTGCCCTGGGGAACAAGAAAAATTTGTGGATTTTACTGCTCTATTTTTCTAACTTTTCTTTGTATGTTACTAAAATGAAAACAAAAGCTTTGAGATATCATTATATAACTACTGGTTTTGTATAATAATGTGCCTGTTTTTCTTCCAATACCTGTAGAGGCTAAAAAACTTATGATGTGTATTAAAGTGGTCAGCTTCATCATTCAGTATTATGCCTAACTAAAACATTTATATTCAAATGAGGGATTAATCTGTTGTTTTGTATGGCAATCTGAATTACTAAAATACATTGTGTTTAGGGAATGCATTTACTTCTGAATCTGAGCTTATGGTTTGTGTTTGTAATTTTCATTTTATTTTGTTTTAATTCTGTTTTACAAATGTTCATAGGATCAAAAGTCCTCATCTTAAAGAAAAACATAGTAAAAATAAACAGCCTCAGACAAAAATACAGTTTTGGAGATTTTTTTTTTTTACTTCTTTTCAGTCTAAGAAAGCTAATCACTCCTTCTGTTTTGCAACACAGCAATCAACCCATAATAGCAATATTACCACTTGAAAAATCAGATGAGGCAGAGTACATGTGATTAGCCTGAATGTCAGCACAATGCTGAGATGCCCTAAACTCTCAAATACTTGCATCAGGCAAGCAAACACCTGCAGATAATAAGCCTTCTTGTACAGCAGTACTTTGAGGCCACACACATGATCTTAGGGAACCTTTGACAGCATTAGTCTCCTTTACATGGGAATGCACTAAGTTAAGGAGACATCCATCTCAAAGACTCTAGCATCCAGAAGTCATTTGGAAATTCAAGTCAGAGCTGGACACTGCTGCCTATATGGATATGAGGAAACAAAGCAAGTGTGATGACACTGACTGTTCTAGAAGTTGTGCTCTTACACATTGTTCTCATGACAGTAGCAACAAAAAAGAAAAAAAAAACAACAAACCTGATTTAAAAAATACTCTTATTTTAATTTTCATGTGAGAAAAGAAGAATTATGATATATTTTTGCAGGTAGGGGTCAAATATCTCTCCCCCCAGGACAAGTCCCAGTTTCTGAATGTTAGCCACAATTTGAAGAACATTTACTTCCAGCTTTATTAGAATACATTGTTGGGTTCCTACTCATATATATTTAACACAAGAAAAGGAGTTTAAAAACAAAAAGCAGCTCTTCTGAAAAATGTGTGCATAGAGAACATCACATTTGAATATTCATTGACAAAGTTTTATATGTCAGCCTCAGTGTCACAGATTTAATATAACACAATTGAAAATTAGCAGTTAAATAAATAAACCCAAATTACTTAGATGGAAAGAATTTACACTGTTAATACTTTATGCGGTCTCTTATTAAAAAACGCGTATAACAATGATTAAAAAACGTGGCTTCAGGCAAATAAGTAAAATTTTTGTGCTGACAGGGAAAGTTCAGTTTACATTGAAAGAAATTTATACATATTTTTTGTAATAAGAAATGGTAATAAGTCTTTCTTCTCTGAGTTTCACGTACAAAAATAACCCTATGAGTTAATCAGAAAGGAAACTTCCTTCTCATGCATTTTTCTCAGTGATCTTCCCAACTGTTCAGCATTAAAAGTATGAAAGGGATAGACTGGGTAGGTTTTTCACCTTGTAGAAACCTGAGCAGGAAGGAGTTAATGCATTGCTATGCCTCAAATACCAATGACCATTCAAGCAGTCAGCCAGACCAGCATTTGTCTGGAAGAAGGGAGAGGGGAGTATATGAAGGTATGGCAGCCCCTTTCTGGAACCAATTTTCCTGTTCAGGTCCATGAGGACAGCACAGTATGCAGCACAAGCACAGAAGTGGGGTCAAGGAGCAGACAAGACCAATAGAAGCAGAAAAAGGGCACAATAGGACCCTCAAAACCCCTCAGCCTATTTCTAGAAAGGTCAAGAAGAATAGACTGCACGTGATAACTAATTTAAAAGAGCAATAAACCTAATCCCAGGGTGTCACTAGAGGACATGAGAAAGCACAACGCAGTCACTGCTGTTGTCACGACAAAGAGAATAATTTTATTTTTTCTAACTCCAGCATTTATAATTTTCCAAATGTGACAGTGGAATGGAGGGTGAATATGCCACCTCTCCAATGACACTGGACAAACTACCAGTCCATCAAATTTATCCTCCTCTATGAAGGAATGCAAAACAATAGGTTATTTACAGAAAGTTGTGTGAGAAAATTTGCTACAAGAATGTAAACTCAGAAGACTTTAGAAAATCTCAAAAAATCAGGGTGACACCAGGGTGGAAAACGTACCTACAGAAAGGTACCTCCTCAAGCTGGACACTCTCTCAGCTCAATCAGTGCTGGACCCAGCACTGGGGATACCCTGTCCTCTCCTACCTCATCTCTCTTTCATTTTTCTTTCTTCCTTCTTTATTTTTATTCTTTGATGATCATGATCATGATCATGATCTTGATAATGATAAGATACAAGGAAAATATATGCCAATTTTCATGGCTTTTGCTATTCTCTTTCCACTATGGGTATCAACAGATCTTGGTGCTCCATTCATCCCTTCACCAGCATTTTGCAAACTATGGATTGCACAGTACAGACCTCTAAGATACAAGTCTTCTGGCTTCTGTAGAACATGCTGGCTTCTTGTTTATTAATCTTCATATTTGTTATATCCTGAAAAGGGCCATACAAATATGCAAATTATCTTATTTTGTTGTTAATTTGCAGGCTTTTCTGTTAGACATCTTCCTTCAGCAGCAGAAAGCACTGGCATCTGAAGGCATCGAGGGAAGGGCATACAAAGCACTGACACACAAGGAGACATATTTATGAAGGTCATCAAGTGTTCAAATTGCAAATATTGCTATCTGTGTCTTAAACATGGCTTAATTCAACATCCATTTATCCTCTCTTTTCACATCCAAATGCAGAGAATCTTTTTGTAAATTTTGGAGTGGCTCCATTTGGATAGCCATGAATCTTTTGTCTGCTTTTAGATGAAATATGAAGCATCTACCTGTCAGAGAGAATTAGAACATGTGCTATGGAAATGTCAAATTAATTAATTAAATGCCATACTATGGGTGTAATAAAGTTGTATGTGCTTTATGTAAATAACAACCCCTAGCAATTTACAGCTGCTAAATTAGCTATAACCTTTACTTGAATTATATAGCCCCAAACTTCAGGTTTTAATTAAGTTTTTCCTTGTGCAATAATTTTCAATATGCTTCTGTTGAAGTCAAGAATCAGTTGAAATACTGTATAAAGAAAAAATTGTAATTTACATTGTAACATTGCAGCCACATAACGCAAACAAAGGCTATTCTCTGGGAAATACAAGGAACTGATCACTTAGCAAGCTGGGGTCTTTCAAACAAAATGGTTTTAAAATGCAAATTCACACACTTGGAAGCAAGGAATACCTACAAAGATAGCAAGTTCATCCTGAAATAAGCAAATCCAGAGAGGTGTTAGCATCTAAATTAAAAACCATCGGAATATGGACTTTTGGGATGCTATTCTGAGAAAAGGGCTTATTTAAAGCCCAGATTAATCCATTGTAACTTGAGACCTTTTGTCTGCACTGCCAAAATGTAAAGTTTATCTCTGAGTGTTTATATAGGCAATGTCAGGAGTCAGGTATCTCCAGAGAGAGATGCAGATATTAAGCAACGTGAGTTACCCACTGAAGCTCTCTGCCTTTCTGTTAATTACTGAGCTCCCAGTTTTGGCACACCAATTATGTTTGCTGAAATGAGTCTGATAAATCTAAGCCCATGTCTTTTAAAGTGAGTTTGTCTAAAATATGTATTTTTGATCTGATATCTTCAAAGTAAGATGGGATGGTTTCAGAAGATGCACACAGAAAGGAGTTACACATTGGCCAAGGACAAGTCACTGAATTCAATACAGAAGTGAGGGGTGTGGTACAGCCTCTAGAATAAAGAGACCAAACTCTTGGTCACCTCTGAAGCAGTGAAGCATTTATCAGGATGCTGAGGATTGGTCAAAATCCTTTGATTGTGTCAGCCAGTACTTCATGCAACAATCCAGCAGTGGCTTCACTGTCGTACCTCAGCAAGATCCTCTCTGCCCCATGCCAATGCAAGTCATATATCACTTCTCAGGAGCACTCAAATGTAGAAAATTCAATCTGAAAAGCTGATGGATTTACAACAGCAAATCTCCTTGAAAACAGGAATTTGGGCTAGAAATCTTCTGTGTTAGCTTGACTAGCTCCAGTCACAGCTATCTTGTGTTACCTGTGTGGTCAGACACAGCAGCTGTGTGACAACACACAGGGCAGGGAGACAAAAGCAGACGTGTTGGCAGGCTATCACCTTTGGGAATACTGCCCTACTGGTGCTAACTTTAATGTAGTGCCCAGAAATATGATTAAAATCTCCAACCTATGTAGATTTTAACATAGTCTAAATTTAGAGTCATGTATATTAAACTAGATTATCTTGGATTTCCAGTCTGATTGATAATGATTTTCTACTTTTTGGATGAGATTATTTTCCTATTTCATGGCTTCTCTAATTTTTACCATAAACACTGGAAGGAAGGGTTAGAGATCAGTCACCCCAAACTCATTCCCACTTTCAAGATTCCCTCTCAGTCTTGAACCAATATTGAGGTTCACAGAGTTAGCACATTCAAATTTTTTTTCAGGTAAGCTTTCAATATTCAACTAGAAATATAAAGTCCACCAAAAGATGCGCTGCACAAGGATCCAAGACAAAGAGAAACTAAGGCACATGGCAAAGCAGACTCGACCTTGTAAAGAAAATAATTGTTCCCTAACCAGTTAAGCTGGGAAAAAGCTCTTGGTCTAAACATCAGTGAGGTCTGACAGCCTTTCAGCTCAGGAAGGAATAAATAGCTTCTGAGGAGAAAGGGTAATGCAGACTCTAAATCTATCTGATGGTGTGATTGCAAGGCTCTGATGGGAGCTCATTTATACAGGTGAGCTGCTTGGTGTAAAAACGCTCTTCGTGCTTTAGATGCATCTTGAAATATATGTCATCACAAAGCCATACCTCTTTGTCAGAAGAAAAGAAATCAGCAGAATTTTTAACTGCCTTGGCTGATGCAAATTTAGTATTGTATTTAGAGTTTACCCAGCTGACAAAGGCAAAAAAAAAAAAAAATAGCTTAAACTGTGAATGTTAAGAGGAATCAGATAATTGGGTGTACATCTGTCTGCAAGTCAGTGTTTGAATATGAACTTTTTGCACTGTCAAGAAGTCTTCTGCCTGCTAGACAGAATGGGTATTGCCTGGCTGTAAATTCTGATAATGAAAAAAGTGGCATACCCTGAAGTTTCTTATTAATAGAGATGAGACAGAAGCACCAGATAGGAGGCTGATCAGGCATTGAGCCTGATTCTGAGAAGAATCAAGAAAAAAATATCAAATTTGTGGGTTGAAATAACATCAGTTGAAATAATTGAAATTAAGTAAAATGCAATGTTATTAAAATAATCATAATAATAATTTTAAAAGAAGAGAGTGGGTTAAAACACAAGAAAAACAGGTGATGAATAATACAATTGTTTAACACCTGCTGAGTAATGCCATACCTGTTTCCAAACTGCAATTGGCCCCCTTCTAAGTATCTTCCCCAGTTTATATATTGAGTATGATATCCTATGGTATGGAATATTCCTTGGGCCAGTTCGGGTGGTTGTTCTGTGCTCCCTCCCACATTTGCTTTGTCTCCTCGCTGTTAGAACATAGGAAATTGAAAAGTCCTTTACTCAGTAAAAACTGTTCAGCAACAACCAAAATGTAAGCGTGTTACCAACATTATTCTCATACTGAATTGAAAACACATCACTGTAGATTTCTCAAAGGATCCATTAGGGATTCATTTTCTCATCAAAGATGGATGACAGATCTGCTGGTTGATATTCATAATACCTGAATTTTAATTTTGCCACGTTTTTGTCAAACCCTTTGCTTTGTGCAAGTCCTGTTCTTCCTAGTGGAAAAGTCCAATGCAGTGAGGCAGCTGGCCATGAGGCCCCACACATCACTGCTTGTGTGTAGGAAGAAGGGTGGAATTCCCAAGGTATCCATGTGCCACACTATGCTTGGAAACTATTTTGGCAGTTTTCAAAAGCCTCAGCTGGATACATCCAACACAGAGACACATCCTGCAGCCTTGAACTGTGCAAGTTCAACTGTTCTCCAGTTCTTCATGCTTTGATATACAGTGAACTTATAAAACGTGTTTATGGCAACAGTGCTCACCAAGCTTAGGACCATGATAGCAAAGTTGAAATACTTTGCCTTCACTGCATGATCAAACAAATGTCTTGAGGAAAAAACAGTTATACAGACTATCACACACCTTTAAAGCATATTTCTCACATAATGATAAAGATTGCCTCTAGTATGTTGCTGCTGGAAATGCTCTGCCAGGTTGCTATAGCAACCTTCTGCTATGTAAATTAGCAAGAGCTTTATCACAAGATTTTTAGATTGTTGGATTTGGGGAAAAATTTTGGAATACAAGCTGAAGTGAAAAATAAGCTGGAGAAGCATCTAAAGGGACCAATTAGTAGTTAGCCATGGTCCAGTGGCAACTGGATACTAAATGATTTTTTAAACTACAGTTTTCAACATTATTCTATTTATCCCTAACCGTTTGTACTGGCAAAGGTGGTGGCACTTAGGTTGAAGAAATTCCCATTTAGGCCTTATACAATTTTAAAATAATCCACTTATACTCTAGAAAGGCAGAAGTGCAGAGGTGCAAAATCTGTAAACTTAAGGCACCTTAAGAGGTTAAAAGCCAAATGAGCAACCACAGAAGAGAAATACCTAACTCTAAGATTACCTCAAAGTTGTTGAATGCTCTAAAGTTTTGAAAAACACTGGAAGGTCATTTTTAACACTGTTCTGCTCAATAAAATAGCAATGTGACTGCCAGGGGATTCTTTTTCTAATGAGCCTCTTCATTTCAAAATGGACTATGAATTTCTGAATTTTCTGAGTCTGATCCAAAGTATATTGAAAGGTACCTGGTGACCTTTAGCTGATTTTGTATTAATCCCTAGTATATTTAGGGATGATTACTTAGTTTACAGATAGTGATGACCTACTGGTTAGAGATTCCCAGCCTCATTAGTGTTCCCCAGTGAAATTATTAGGTTTACAGTATACAGTAAATACAGAATACAGTAAAATGCCCAGTCCTTTTTTCCAGGAGACTAACAGACCCATCAAAGATTAAAGTAAAATGTAGGGGGAAAACAGGCTTTTTCCTTTTCTTTATAAAAGCAATATGTCTGTGGTTGCTTGATGGTACTTTCTCATGTTAATTGTTGCTGTTATTGACACCAGATTATTACACAGCAGTAAAAGGAAAAGAATGTATTGTCCCTTGTGGATGGGTTAGCAGGTGACAGGAACATCAAGAGCAAAAGGTGAAGTGATTCAAAGGAATGTCCTTCTGATAATATGTGTCCATTTGCAAAATATTTGAAAAATCCTATATTTATATCATTGGAGGGCACAATATTATTTTTCCCAATATAAAGCATTTCAGACAAAAAGCTTGTGCTGAACTAGCTCTTTCACAAAATTCTGGGTTTTGTCAAAAAATAGACCCTTTAATGGTATAATTCTGAGTTTTTCCAGGAATTAAAAAAATATGAAAAAAACATGAGGGGGAGCAAAAATGTTATACAAGAAGAACTTCCTATTAAAAAAATTGAACAAAGAATGTTTTCAATGAGGATTGCAATATATAATATAGGCTTTGATGTGTATATATCCATCTTAATGATGCATGAAAAACCTTTCACATACAGTTTTGCATTAGGTATTGATAAATGCTAGGTTGATAATTTTGGAGAATTTTATGTCAAATGAGGTGCTTTTTTCTTGTTTATCCACTATATTTATAGAGACTAGGTCTACATAATATTTCTTCCTGAAACATAGAATGATTTAGACTATACACCAAAAATAATTAAGATTACAGGTGGAAATGCAAACACTGATTCAACACAAAATTCATAGTAATATTTTTTTAATTTGTTTATTGCCTGACTTACATCACAATCTATTAATGTTTAGATTATGCATTAAAGATATATCCTGTTATTTTAGAGGTCAATATATATATATATTTGTGCATTAAAGATATATCTTGTTATTTTAGAGGTCAAAAATGAAGCTGTTACTGCTTTTTTTATAACAACAGGGAGATTTCCAGGAAGATAAAAATTTATATTCCTGATATTTTGCCCTAAAAAACCCCATAGTTTTTATTGCTAAAGTTGCCACCAAAACATATTGAGATTTTCCCCTGCTCCAAATCATATATATATATATATATATATATATATATATATATATTTCTTATGGAAATTTATCTATTAATATTTTCCATAATTCTCCTTTTTTGGAGCTTTTGTTTCTTATCTCCTGCAGGATCTGAATTTGTGCCATCTGCATATGAACAGACAAATAAATTCAAAGTACAATCAGTAAATATTTATCGTTTTTTAAATATGGAAGTTAAATCTAATTTTACCTTTTTCATTAAAAATATGATGCGAAAATTACTTTCTTGTTCTAATTAGATAAGAAAGGAAAAGCTTGGATAAGAAAGAATGAGGTGAGACTACTACTTGGTAAAAAATTCTAATTTTTCAGCCTACTGCTTTGTATACTAGCCTAATGTTAGAACAAAGAAGAGGGAAATAATCTAAAAGCAAAAATGCTTTATAGGGAAAGAGAAAACAATACATTCATCTTTTTTTTTAATTAGAGACGTAATAATGAAGAGAAGGACATATTTTCCTAAACACTTGTATAAGAAGGTAGGACAGAAAATTCAAATGCTTCATACCTACATTAAAAGACTTGACTTATTTAAACAGTATCCCAGCATGGAGGGCTTTGGAACTACCAAAAACAGGGTAGGAAAATGACAAGAAACTGGGGAGGAGAGGAGGTTGTTCGTATTAGGATCAAAGTTGCCAGACAGCAAGATGAGTGAGAGTCTGAAGGAAGAAATTTGAGATTTATTGTGGCCCTTTAGAAAGTTACCAGCATAAAAAAGACTAACGTCATTCATCACAAAAATCAAATTTCTGAGCATATCAAAACTAAAGTGATGTTTCAATCGCAACAAATCAAAGATTATAAAATTTGGTGTCATCCGTGTCATTATTGATATCAGATGACATTTGCTAGGTCATAACATTTGACATTGGTTTGGCAGCCTTAATCGGAAACCCAGGTGGTCTGTTTGCTGAGTTCAGAATAATGATTATCAATAAGAATCAGGCACCTATAAGGGCTTCAGTAATGCTGTGCAACTTCCTGGACACCCTCCTGGATCTGATAAGTCCTGCAGGTAGAAGCCAACAACTATTTGACATAACTGAGCTCTTCAAACTTGTAAAATGTTCTCTGAGGATTCAGATGATTTTGAAGAGAAATTTTGGTACCTTTCCATGTAGACATAGACAGCTCCAAAGCCTCTAAAACATATGTTTTCTTAAATTCATGTAAACTCCATGGTACAGTTTGGGTGCTAATCACGTGAGATTTCTGCCCTGGGATAGTTTTTAGGTTCACTGGATCCCACTTTAATGACTGAAGTCTCTGCCTTTTATTCCTGTCTTCCCATTTCCCTGTCTGTGCCACTGCATACCTAATCATCTCAGATCTGCGATAGCTATCCCAAATCTCATTACAAAGTCAAGCAAAGAGAAAATCAAGACATACCATAATGCTAATTAGCTAAATCAGACTCTAACTATATCTGCTTTCCCTTTGCTGTTCAGATATGCGAGTAAGAGATGTTCCCAGCTAATTATTTAAAAGCTATGGCTTGCTCTATTGCGTAACGTACTCACTGAGCCAAAGCCCCAGTAGAGGTAGAGCTGATAGACACAGCACTAATTCCTGCTGTCACACTTTGAGAACCACTTCCTCTCAGCTTTATGTCCTCCATGTTGTCAGTCATAATTGCTATTTGCATATGGTCCCATAATCGATTTTGAATTAATGTGGTCAGTGGTGCTTTGCAGCGTGGGCTACTGATCAGCAGAGGTTCTTATGCAAGATGTGAAACTGAGAGAGGTCAGTATTATGCTGATTTGATTTTAATATTAAACAATCTATTTGTGTCATCCTCTCCGCTGACTGGAAATCAATGGAGCTTCACTGCTCTGAAATGGAAAGGCTATCTTGACAAATCAGGTCTTTTCTGTGTGCAATTCAATTAATACAGTACAATGAATTATACATAGCCAGTGAACAAGATGTTTGACATGGTCATAGAGCTGCAGATGAGATTTGGTAGGTGACCTACAGGCTCAGATCCTCCTCAGTGCATAAAGATACAGGTCACTTTGTGGATTATGGTATCCAGTAGACCTAACAGCTCTCCTTTCTTCAAGATGCTGAAAATCCTCCGTGTTCATAATTAATATGTTCTATATGTAACAGAATAGTTTGCATGATTAACAGCTCCCCTTTTACATACGTGACTGCCTAACAACTAAACAAAGCATTTATAATGACAGAAAAAGGGAAAAGCTGATAGCAAGGTATTATTTTCACTCCTTGTTTCGGCTTTGATACAACAGAGATAATTTCTTTAAATAATGATTTTTAAAAAGTGCATTATTTGCATTCCAATTAAGTACCCTATGCTTTAACAGTTGAACAGAATGCTACCATTCTTGTTTTTATACAAGTGAGGCAGAGAATTCTGATTCTGATCCCACTCTGCTAAGTCAAAATTGACTGTACAATAAGAAACAAAGCACAAAGGGCTGAATCTCAAAGCAGAAATGCCAAAGTGAAGCTCTAAGGCATCAATATTAACCATGGTTAGATTTTGAACCCTGAGACATAAAAAAATATCCCAGGATTTACAAGGTTTTGTTTATCACAGATACTCAAACCAGACAGAATTACCAGCTCAGAATTACTGATTAAGTTCCTCTGCTAATCACCAGATAATTGTAGTTCTGAACTTATGGTAGCTATTTTTGCATTTTTTTCTAGAATTCTAATTTTATACTTAACAGAAATTATTCAGGACCTGGATAGATATGATGTCAGTCCTCCCAATTCTGGTAACAAATTATGCAGGTGATTTTACTATCATATGTCCAGGGCTTATCGATTATATGTATTTACTCTGGATTTCATATAATTTGTGTTACTTTTACAATCAAGAGATTTATAAAAGAAACAACACATATTTCAGATAGGCACATGTTCTATCACCTACTTGATTGATCTCTGGGCATGATGAAGACATTCTTACTCTAGGAATAATAAACAGTATGATATTATCTGTATGAATTGGGTGATAGAAGAATAAAATCCCATAAAATGTTACCTTTTTTTTCAGGAAAACAACATTTCTTCTTCCGTATCTCTGAATTCATAATATATGTTATATAATTTGCTACAGAAAATCACTTCTGCAGCAGAATGCCCAGCTGTGTCCTTAAAACAAATTGTTTCATAGGGGAACAGTGCTCTCCAGTGATCAAAGAAGGGAACTGTTTTAGTCATAAAAGAGATAATTTTGGTCTCGTTTATTTTCTAAGCTCTACCTTCTTTTATTTCCACAGTGATTGATGGGATTATCTTCTACATAATTATTCATATTTTCACTTCCAGTATTTTTTCCCCCTTTTCTTAATATTTCTTATGAGGCTAATTGTTTTATACAGTTAGTTCTCCTTGAAATTCCCACATCTCCTCACATGCACTTCTGAGAACTTAAAGCATTTTTCAGCTAAATCACATGAGTATTAGCAAAGTTTTATTTAAAAAACTTGTAATCATTTTTCTCATTAAAATTATAAACTTATGACTAATAAATCATAATAGTTTTTGGAAGTATTCAATTCAAAGTAATTTGGTTTACATTTTATTGAGAAATAACTTTCTGCAGAATTGTCAACTAAAAAACTACAGAGAACCTTATACAAAGTTTTGCTAATCGCATGCTCTTAAAGTGTAAGGGAAAAGAAAAAAGGATAAATCTTTGGTTTCCTGTTATTCTTGTCTCTTTCTAAGTGAGAAATATTTAAAAATGTTAGATCTTCACTTTATGTGAAGTACATGTGCTTTATATCAGTACACTTGAGCCAGTAGAGAAAAGGAACAAAGACTGATCTTGACATTTTATCCATCCATTAGTCAGATAGCTGGTAAGCTCAGGCTTCTGCTGAACTCAGAAGAGATAAATAGCTACACCATCCCTTCCTAAGAGGTGTGAGAAGAACCATCCTTCAGAGATAACTTAGTGACTACAGAATGAGCCTAGAGTACCTGTGCAAATGTCCATCTGTAGATGATCATGAGTAGTTGAGATAAATGTGCATTATCATGGTAGATATGCTTCAAGGTCCTAGATTCTGGACCAAGAAAATAACCCAAAAATTGAGGAAAAATCCTCACTAAAGCCAGAATCCAAAGCCATATTTTGCAAAATGTGCTTTAAACATTGAAATATAATGGATTCATTATTATACTTTTTTTCAGTTGCCTCTATTTTCATGCAGAAATCCTGGCCATGTGAAAATGCTAAGATTTTCAAGTAATGTCACAGCAGTACACCCAACAGCCAAGTAGTTCTTCAGAAACAGGACAACACTGTTCCATGCAGAAATTTTCTTATGGTGACTTTCATTAACTCTGAGTTATGGTGACAGTTACATTTGACTCTTCAGTCTTTTGAAATAACAAAGAGTTCTACTTGAGAGTATGTGATTGTATTCTAAATAGCAATTACTGCACCATTTTCAAGTTTCTTAGGATCAAAACCCAGATGCCATTTCTGGATTAGTACAGCAAACTGTTCTAGGGTGAATCTGAAGGATGAAGCAGATGATGTTAAAGCCTCAAAGTCCTCACTGTATGCAATTCTGAAAGTTTTACCTCAGCTGAGCTCCTGTCTGTCCCTACAGACTTAATAACCAGATTGTATTAGCTGTGCTACTGACACACTTTCTCAAGCTCGCCCTCAAATAAAATGAATCCAGTTTGAGTATCTCACTGCAAACTCTCCATTGTAAACCACACTACAATGCAAAACAAAGTGAGACAAAAGAGAATTATAAGGAGGTATTTTCCTGATATGGACTACATGAATTTGAACACATCCAGTGGAGACACTTGATGTTGCATGAGTATTGCTGGATTTTATCTTTAAAGTGCTGATAGAACATTTGGAAGCCATTAAAGATTAAAGTGATGATGTTCCTCTTAGTTTGTAAAAGCACCTTTAAACTTAAAAAATTACATCCACACTCACGTGTGCACTTTATACAAGGTGTTTCTATAAAAGTTACAGTTAAAGATCTAAACATATCTGTTGTTTTTCCAACTTCACTTTTGAAAGATGATTTGAAATATTTTATAACAGGCTTTGTGGCATCTGCCTTTAAAGCTGTTAGATTGTTTTAGTTGGTAGTAGAGTATTTCAAATGTCTTTCTATACACAATAACACGTATTTACTTTAAATGTGTGTTCACTGTATATTTGTGTTTACTCTAGTAAAAAGGTTTTGTGAGATCAGCCTGAAGACCTAGAAAAGACATTGTATCACTAGCAAAATTATATCTTGCTCCTAACCTATTATGAGAAATATCTTTCAACTTCAAAGTCAAGCTTCTGTTGCCAGATATCACAAAGATGGCATTTTAGAAAAATACAGTTGTTTTAACCATTATGTTCTAAGGACAAAAGAGAAGCAAGATATATGGGGTGATATAAGGCAATAAGAGGCAATGAATACTATAACACCTATACTTATGCTGCTTGCACCTATTTTTTGTCACAGACAAACTGGCATAGTTCTAGCATCATTCATGCATTTACCAGACAGAACTGTGGCCTCAATCAATCTTTTCTTTGAGAAAAATCCTTAGCCCCTGCAATCTGTAACTAGCTAGTGTTTAGGAAAATGGTCATGGGTTCATGATCAAAAGTGTTCCATGATCCATTCTAAAAACAAAATGCAATCGTGGCAAAACCCATGTCCACACCTGGTCCGGTTTATTTTTTGAGTATTATTATTTTAGTAGCATTATTTGAGAGTTACTTGCACAGTGCTACCAAAATTTTAATCCCTACACATTAATCTTAGTCAAGGTCCCATGCTTATATACATGGAAAGCCACTTTGAAACACAAATGCATGGCTTCAGGGGTTCTTGCTATTTCTGTAATCTTCTTAGCTTTATAGTAATAGGCATTCTCTTTAAAAGTAAAATTTTGAATAAATATCACAATTTCACTATTAGCTCAAAGGAAGTTCTGGTCACAGCACCAAGCCTTTCAGAGTTCAAGAAGTGTTTGGACAATGCTCTCAGGCACATGGTGTGATTCTTGGGGTGGTCCTCTGCAGAAGCAGGAGTTGGACTTCAGTAATCTTTGTGGGTGTCTTCCAACTGAGGATTCTATGATTCAGTCAAATGAGATATCTTCAACTGAGGAGTTTTTCCCTGAATATTCAGATAGTTGAAAACTATAGACAAACAAACCAGGAAAGTGATTCAGAGACTGTTTCTCTCAGAGCTCCTCTCCTCCTTGTTCACTCTCTCTCATTCTTCCTCTCCTTCTCTTCCTCCTGTGACTATTCCAGTGAGTTTTGCTCTGTCTCCTTCATTCTTGCCTTTATTGCTTTTGTGAGAGTTACTGCATTTCATCAGTAAGGATTCATAATATGTATGTATAAAACATTTTTTCTCTAAATAGTGATTTCAGCATCAAAAAAGAGAAATACATTTCTCATTTACAAAATAGTAGAATAGTAAAAATAGTATCTTATGACTTTGCAATAACCTATGTATCATTTAACAGTATCTTAAGTACTGAGCAAAAGAAGAAAAAGAAAAAGAGACAAGAATTCAGACTTGGATCTTCCATGTGGATCTTATTCTCTGAACAATATAGACAGCTCCTTTGAAGAAAGCCACTACAAAAAGAAATTTCCAAGATCTCTACTGAGAGTTCAGAAATCTTCATCCTTGATTCCAGTAAGATATTAGCTCATCCAAAAGTAAAGTATAGCACAAAATCAGGTCTCTTCTAAAGATCTATTTGTATTCAGCATTATTCATTTTTTTTGTTTTTCCTGTTGCAGACATAAGAATGTAGTTGCCTGTCACATGTAATTTCTGATTCAAAAATGTTACAGAACAACTATCTTGTTCCTATCTTAGGTATTTACATATGTTGAATTAAGAAAGATAGCTGAAGGTTATTTTTTCATTTTATGATAACTGAGATGATACCAAACATCTTAAGAGGAATTATATTTTTTTTTTATTGGTTTTGTTAATAACAGAAGTATATTGACCATCTAGCCTTTGAAAATATATAATAACTGATTTAGACAATTAGTTTTGGGGTCAGGGTCCCTGTTTACCTATATCTGTATTCCTACTTAAATATAAGTTATAAAAATAATCCAATAAAGTCAGTAAGAATCAAGGCTGCTACTCTTTACTCCCCTTTAGTTATTTCTGTGGAAGATGGATGATCTAACCTTGACAAATTTAGTTTCTTACTCTAAAAGTGGTTTCTCAAATTAAAATGGCTTCCTGCAGTGACCAGGAATATTTTTTGGTACTTTCTCTTCATTTTGGTGCTGTTAGAACTCGCTAGCAAGCAACCATTGACCACCCACTGCCTGGTGAACAGTGCTCAGGTGGCAACTTCTGTAAAGTCACAACTTCAGAATTTTCAGTTTTCCACATTCCTTCCTAAAAGCAGCTCAGTCAGCCATTTCTAGAGGTGAGTCAGATTAATTTCTAGAGGTGAGGTCATTCCCCTTGTCACCATGGGCTGCCATCTCACACATAAGAGCTCAGTTTCAGAACCATCTTTGCAATGATTTCTTAAGTTCTTGAAGGGCAGATAATAATCTTCCCTTTTGTCACTATTCACACTCCATACTCATATATACAAATGGTCCATTTATCCTTAGCTTAATCCAGTTTAAAATTCCATTAATCTTTACTTACACAGTCAGTCTCCTTGCACCACTCCTTTACTCCTTCATACATTCTCCATTTCCATTTTCTGCCTGTACTGTTACTCCCGACTGCAATGTCTTAGTGTTCAAAGTTTATAGTACTTGACAATTACTGGCTATGAGTGCCACAAAATTTTGAAGTTATTGAGAATCATTGCTTATGTTTCATAGTGGCTCAGTATAAAGAGAATTTTCCTACTACATTTTTTTTTTCCATTCACTCGTGCTAATAATACCACCAAAGTTGTCTTCTGTGGATATTCTAAGAGTTTTCTGTCTGTATCCCAAAAACTCTTACTGATTATATTAGGCAACTTTAAAAAGCAGTAGCATTTTGAAAATTCTGTTTCTAATCTTACACCCAGATGTTACTGGGTTACTCTGTATACTAAAATCACATGGAGTGTACTGAGCTTTACATTTTCTTGTGATTACTAATTTATATGCTCT